CAGCAATAAGAGTTTTAGCTGAAAACGGGGCCAAAGTCACTGAAGAATTTTGTAGAGTATCTTATTTAATTACAGATTTCATCCTGCAGCAGAGAACTTTCATATAGAGCAAAGCCCTCTGTAGCACCTTCTTTCCCTAACGTCTATATACTCTCATTTTCAGCTCTCGCCTTCTATTTCTGAGCACTAATGCCCATTAATATCCAGAAAGTGTCAGTTGTATCCAAAGTTTCAGTCTATTAAATCAATGAAAAATATATTGGATTTAATATGTTTGGCTTAGGAAATTTGTTTTGTCTGCTGCAGCCTACTGCAGCTTGCTCTGAGCTTACCTCTGTTTGAATTAGAGGGTGCCGGCTCATGTGCAGCTCAGACATTGGCCCATAAGACCGTGAAGCGTAGCTGATTTTTGGAGAAACTACTAAGTAGTTTCTATAGTGATAATGATGTACTATGTGCACCTATTGGGAATATATAAAATTAGAGAGAATTTCTGTTTGCTTTGGTCCTCTTTCTAGAATAATTACAGTAACTGCCATTCATTCCCATTCTGTTACCCTGATTATTCTAGAATAACCTGGTTATTAGGGTTTAGTCATGTTTAAGAACATACTGCAAAGTGACAACTTGTCATGTTGGTATTATCAATACTTTAAAATTTCCATATTAGTGACCCAATTTCCTCAAGATTTCTGAGTGTTTAATTTGGTAGGGAGAAGTAGGGAGGGGAGTAAATGATGCCTCTTGCTCTTCTCTGTTCAAAGTAACCTTAATTTTCCATTCCTGAATAGAAACCTTTCCCTTAGAGACTAAAAAAAGAGTCGAAACAATTACATCTTACAACCCTAAACACATTCTCAGCTTGGAAATCCTTCCTCTCCTACTGAATGTACTGGGTAACCCTTTTAAGATTTCCCCCTGCCAGTGGCAGAAGTGCCATTGCTAAATTCAGGGAATTATGGAATCAAGAATTGCTGAGTGGCCAGGTCCAGGCCTGTTTCCTAAAACAGCACTTTGCAGCCTTAAAAAGCCACCATGTTTAATGGAATTCATTACCTTTACCAGCACTTTCCCTCTGAGGTGAGTTATCCTCCACAGGGCAGGTGGACAGTAGTAGGTATTTCCACTCTTACTTGAAATTTCCTCTGCCCAGAGGAATTTCTCCTCCAAAAGGACTGAGGTTTAACCAAATGAAGCACAGGGAAAGCTTCACGCTGGTGAAGGTGCATATAAAGCTGTCCAGAAGCACACTTAGCTGACGTACTGACAGATTGTGCAATTTTGCTGTGGTAATTACTCAATGGTTCAGCAAATGGTAACTAAATACTTTGGAAATCAAAATGTCTAATTGCAGACGCACATATGGTATATCCCCATCCGTTCCACAGAAGGTAATGTAACAAGCACACCCAAACCTTCCCTTAATTCCCCCAGCTCAGAAGCCACCAGTGACACAAAACAGTTGTAATTTGGAACAGTGTTTGGGGAAACAAGGTATAAGGAAAAGAGTTTTTGGAAAGCATGATGTGCTACATACAAAGCTGGGTTACAAAAGTAAGATTGAGCTAATTTTGTCAAGAAAGAGAAAAAATATTAATGCTGTAATGTTGCTACTCTAGTGTATATATAGAAACCTCTTTACTGCCATAGATAGGCCAAAATTATAAAGGTAGGTTCAATATTTGGTCTTTACCAGCAGTGGAGACAGGTGGATGTGGACACACAGGGTTCATGACACAGATGATACCTGTGCTACACCATGACAGGGGAGCATGGAAGAGCATGGGGGAGCCCACACCAGCTCTGCTGGAGCCCATCACCATGGGGAAACACATTCCCCAAACTCACCAGTAAGTACCAAACCCCATGGCTGAGCAGGAGAGCAGAGAAAGGACCTGGGCCACTTTCCTCACAGGTTTCTGCATACTGAAGGAGGACCCAGGCAAGAAAAGGAGATGGAGGGACTTTGTCCAATGGCGGCAGATGATGCCAAGGGGTAGAGGAGAGCAAATGAGGCCCTTGCATCCCCTTAAAACCATAAATGCGGGACATCATTCTTAAACCAGGATTTAAAATAAGGTCCTTGGTCCCTTTTGCTCCTGATGAGGAGTTCAAAGTCAGGCAACCCAGAATAAACTCCAAAGAACAGTGTCTTACATAGATGTGAAATAATAATTTTCCAATGTTTCCTTTAGAAACTCTTAATCTGAAGAATTGCTAAAATCTGACGTCTGTATTTATCCATCCATCCACCCAACCATTCCTATTGCTCCTCCACCAGGTTTTAAGGCCTTAAGCCTTCCACAGCTTAAGAGAATTCTTTTCCCCCTTTGTACCTCCTGTATCACTACTCCATTTCATGTAATTTCCACATCTTCTTTAATTTCCAAGGAGAGGAGCAGCTATATCAGTGCTCAGAACAGCTCAGCCATGCACATGCGCTGCACATCAGCCAGCTGGGTTTACTGCTTTGGGCTGGCCCTTTGTAAGGTCAGAAGAAGGCAAAATCCTACCTCTTATTTAAGGCAACACCTTAATTTATAAGTGTTCAGAAACCCTTATTGCAGGAGGCCTAATGGAATTAATCATTAATCAGGGCTCCTGAACTGGCTTCAGACCTTTTTCCTATAAAAGATAGTCTTATGTTCTACATTTTGTAATAATTAGGCTGAAAACCTGCATTGCTTACCTCTCTTCTTCTCAGAAGAAACCCAACCCCCCATTATTGTGACTCTCCTCGGAATTAGGAGTTCTTCTTTTTATTTCTTGCTATTAATGTTTAGAAGCTATGAGGATGTATGATTAATGCAGGTAGCGTGACTTTGATATAGGACAAAGTAGCATTAATTGTATGATATACATTATTTTTAAAACAACTACATTGTCTTCATCTTGCATAATTATCTCTTTGTTGCTGTTAATCAGGATTTCCCAAAGTGACACACAATAAAAAGCATTAAGGTTTGTGTCAGCAGATCCAAATCTGGAATCAAATCTATCTGTACCATCAGGTGCCCATTAGGCCGGTGGAATTGCACATTAAAGGTACTCAGACAATGCAGGCGGTTTTCTCTTGCAGTAACAGGGAGAAAGGAGAAATTGGAGCTCTTGGGTACTGAAGGAAAAGACAGTTCCTGCCCAGTCCATTATATACAAGTGAACAGAGGGAAACAGAGATGAAATATTCACCCACTGATGGTTTTAACCACTGCCTCAGAAACTTTTCAGAATATCCTGTCTGCATGAAAATATCCTCAAGGTTTTCCTCACTCAAGTTTTAGCCACAACGTTTTGCTCTGGTCAGGCAACACTGCACAGAAGGGGCTTCCAGAGCACAGCTGCTGCTGTTTCCTGGCAGGACTGAGTGGTACTTCTGTGATGTGTCTTACCCAGGCATGGGAACAAGGATGGCCACTGCCCCACTTTAAAGTGTGACAGATGGGATGAGTATGGAGCAGAGAGGTCCCAGGCAGAGGCAGAGATAAGGCCAAGGGATGCAGAAACCACACCAAATCATTGGGGCAGCTTGACAAACTGTTGCTCTGGTGCCACTGAGCAGTGCTCGGCCATTGATCCAGGGTCAAGACTTATTTCCTAGAGGAAGAGCGAGCAACTGGACACAAACCTTCGTAAGGACACACCGGGGCTGGTGTGATGAACATGAATATAAAGTTCACCAGCTATAGAAGTTTAAATGGCTTTATGGGAAAATGTTTCCTGTGTATGCTTCCAGCTCCACTGATCATCTTCATAATGGAGTTAGGTGGGAATATTTTCCAGGAAGCATATTTCAAGGCAGAAGCACACAGTCTTTGGGCTTTCCTTTCTTTCCTCTTTTCCCCCACTTTCATCCTCCTTCCTTTCTCCTTGTTTCTTTTAAAGAAAAGATTAAAAAAACAAGGGACTGTACAATCTGCACACCATGCAAACTGCCTCTCCAGTGCCCGCCTGGCCTGCCTGTTGCTTCCACAAGAAGCACTGTTGGATGGAGTGGAAAGAGAATCCATTGCTTCAGACACACAATGCAAATGCTGTGTTTCTCTTAGAGTGAACAGGAGGAGGGATGAGCGCAAATGCTGGCCTTCATCCTTCTGCAGATGTTGTGCAGACCCAAAGGCCATGCAGGGAACATGGTTCTGTGATTCTATGATTCTGTGAACATGCAAAGCATGCACTGAGGCAGGGCAAAGGCACCACACAGCGGGGCTAAGACAAGAAGAAGAGCTTTTAAACAAGCAGGAAGGCACATCAGGCCAAAGGAGAAAATGAGCCCGGAGCAGTGAAGTAAGAATGATAATACCAAGCACTTATGTTCAAAGCACTGTACAAATATTAACTAATTAATCCTCAAAGCCCGCTCTGGAGTAGATAAGCAAGTGTTATTATCCCCTTCTTGATGGGGAATCTCAGGCAGCAAGGTTAAGTGTCACGTCCAAGGCTACAGAGAAAGGTTTCAGAAGACATTTTTAAGGGCATAAACACTCCAAACCCAGTCCTGTGCTCACTCCAGAAGCTGAGACCATGCTGGAAATCAGGCACCAATAGGCAGCAAAGAGAAAGGGTCTGAAGACTGGCTACCACCTTGGAGGAAGCCTAAACTCCTCCTCAACCACCTTATAACACATTCACTCTTAGCTCTTGCAGCTTGGAGCAGCCTTTTAACTCGGCTAAAGATGATCCAGTGAAAGACCAGGAGGAAAAGAGTCATATGTTGCTTGGGCTCATGCTTGGAGGCTCCCATCCACCTCTTGCTGTCACCTTGAGCATGTTCAGCTCCTCCTGGGATACTGTGTAAGTAATGGTTGTAGTTAGCTGAAAGGTGAACCAGGAAGGAAAATCAATAAATAAAGTTGAGTTGATAGCAAATTAAGAAAGTAGCTAACTCTGACTTGCCATGATGCTTTTGGAAGCTGTGGCCCCAAAAGAGGGAGCTCCACCTTCTAGGGAAGCATAAGAGTTACGTTTCTCACAAAATTCCAACCATCTTGTGCAGGTTTCCCAGCAGAAAAATCAATCCTTGAGTGTTTTCCATCTGAAGCAAAGGAGGAAGAAGGGGTCTTTCTGGAACCTGACCCAGAAATTAAGTAACAATGGATCAAGAAACTCCAGTTTGACCCACTCCCCCTGAAAAAGGCTTAAGTTGGAAATGTTTCAGGTTGTAGCCAATCTCTCAAAGTAATGAAGATTCAGAAGAAGTGCATATACAAAAAGAGATTAACAATATGCAGCCAGGAAAACCCTTTTCTTACCAAAAAAGAGTTCATACGTCAAATGTGTTTACTGTTCACAATATGGATTAGAGTGGTATTTCAGGGTATTCTGGAGGGCATGGGGCGGAGGGAGCAAGAAAAGGAATTGTCTATGGTCTGCATTTGTTGCTCCAGTTCCTGTACTGACAGCAAAGGACCTTTGATTGTAAGATGAATTGTGGAGCAGGAGCTGCGGCTCTGTTTTTGAGCCATCGGTATTTTCACTTGTGCTTTTGACTTCAGGGAGCCCTTTCAGACACAAGAATAGTGAGGTGGATGTAGAGCTCCCAGAAACAATAACAGGAACATTTGCCAATTAATCTATCACACACTGTAGCACAATTTACCTTTTACCCTTCCAATTCTGAAGAGTTACCATACAATTCAAATATCAAATTGTTACTGGATGTAGCAAAAATGGGAGGATGTGGGGGTAAAAAAGGGACACATCAATAACAGGACAACGCTTCTAATTTCCTGCACAGCTTGTTAAACATGACCTCGTTGGTAAATCTGGTCAGTATTTTCCCAATACTCCTTCTAAACATCCATATGCATACCCCTTTCTCAGACAGTCTCATCCACACTCATAGGGATGGCCTAAGTAGTAGCAAAAGCATTGGACCCCCATGTTCCCCCAGGCTCTGGCTTCCCCACACCACAAACCCAGGCCAAGCACCATGTGCCTTTTCTCTGTGCCTACCTTCCAACAGCACCAAAATCCCTTTTGGTAGAAGATTTGGGATAGAATGTCTTCTAAATCATTCTTTAACCCTATCCTTCATTTTCTTTAGCATTGATAAACATGGGCAAAAAAAAAGAGATGTGTTTCCAGGTTTAACGAGCCATTTATAACTAATTACTGAAGCTTATTAAGTACAGCTCTGGCTTGGGCATTTTGTCCCTACCTTTTCTCTACAGTATTCACCAAAATTTGGCTTCCTGAGAGGAACTAATTGAATTTCATGGTTTACACATTACTTGCACACTCTTTTTAATCCCCAGCTCTAGTTTTTCTTTCACAGATTGTCCCAGAAGAAAGCCAAAACATTAACTTTCTATTCACTGTATAAATAAGGGTATTTTTTAAAATTCTATCTACAGGCACACACACACTGGGCTGGAGCTTTTTCTAATTCTTCAGTGCACTGGTGCAACTCCATTAAATCAGCAGCCACACGGCCGTATGGAAACGAATGTAAGATCTGCTACGGGTGATTATGGACAAACAGAATCAGATGAGCCAGATATTTGCAAGCTTTCAGGGAAATTGGCTTTCATCTACAGATTTGGCTTGTTCTTTATAGCAAATTCTGGGGGAGTTAACCATTCAGTACACTTTGGAATGCTTTCCTCCTCCAACTCCTCTGTGATCTCCTCAAAGGAGTTGACAAGTCCAACCAATATCTCTGTAGATGGAGACAGAGCATTCTCCCAAGTGCTGGAGGGAGTCTTTGTCTCAGCTGTGTCAAAGGGAATTTGTCTTTAACATCAGCAGAATCAGTATCTCACCTTAAACTTGTGCCCCTGTTAAGTACCTTCTTAACACTTGTTTAGCATCTTGTATTGTCCAGGCAAAACACCACCTAAGCAGGGAGACCAAGAAGTGGTGTAATATACAGTTACAGTTCTGGTGTCCTCAACATCAAAAGGACATGGAACTGTTGGAACAAGTCCAGAGGAGGCCACGAGGATGCTCAGGGGCTGGAGCACCTCCTGCATGGAGACAGGCTGAGGAAGTTGGGGCTGTTCAGCCTGGAGAAGAGAAGGCTGCGTGGAGACCTCAGAGCAGCTTCCAGTATCTGAAGGGGGCCTATAGGGATGCTGGGGAGGGGCTCTTCATTAGAGACTGTAGTGACAGGACAAGGGGTAACGGGTTAAAACTGAAACAGGGGAAGTTTAGATTGGATCTAAGGAAGAAATTCTTTCCTGTGAGGGTGGTGAGGCACTGGAATGGGTTGCCCAGGGAGGTTGTGAATGCTCCATCCCTGGCAGTGTTCAAGGCCAGGTTGGACAGAGCCTTGGGTGCAATGGTTTGATGTGAGGTATCCCTGCCCATGGCAGGGGGTTTGGAACTTGATGGTCTTAAGGTCCTTTCCAACCCGAACTATTCTATGATTCCATAACAATTATCCACATTAAATGGGAATATTTGTATGTCATGAAGCACACAACTTGTGCTTCCAAATGCATTTTTAAGGGGTGGTGAGGGAGGACATAAGCTGCAGTCCAGCTATTTGAAGGAGAACCA